AAAAAAAAAGAAAGGTACATGGTACATAAGTTAGCATTAGCTGTTATTATTCTTATTATTCTTATTATTCTTGATTCTACCAGATGGGAATATCTTTTAATTTTTTTTTTTTTTTGAGTCAGAGCCTGAAGCTGTCCCCCTGGGTAGAGTGCTATGGCATCACAGCTCACAGCAACCTCCAACCCCTGGGCTCAAGTGAGTCTCCTGCCTCAGCCTCCGAAGTAACTAGGTCCACAGGCGCCCGCCACAACACCCAGCTATTTTTTGGTTGCAGCTGTCATTGTTGTTTTGGCAGGCCCGGGCTGGATTCAAACCCTCCACCTTAGGTGTATGTGATTGGCACCTTAGCCACTTGAGCCACAGGCGCTGAGTGAGATGGGAATATTTTGATTCTATCAGCAACCTACCATTTTTGTCTATCAAACATCAATGATTTGCTACTTAAAATATTTTGTTAATTCACTCTTAAATATATGTATTCTAATGAAATAATGTATTCTAAGGTACAGTTATTTATCTAAGTTCCATAGATCTATTTAAACTTTCAAGATGCTCCCTGAAAAAAGAGTTCTAAGATCAAATATGTTGGGGAAACTCAGAATATCTTATACCTTGTTGGAGAATCACAGTGCCCAGTGAATACCTATTAAAGTCTTGATACTTCCTATAAAACAAACAAAAAAGTTTAAGGATATTTAAACCAGTGTTTTGAAAATGTATTTCTACCTACAACCCATTTTTAGTGAAAGCTATTAACATCTCAATGAAGACATTTTTTAAAATACTATTCTAATGCATTCCCTATTTTCTGTTCTCTTCTGACTTAGCATTGTTCACGAAAGCTTTGTCAACTGTTGAATCTAACTTTTTTCTCAATTTTTCCTCTCCTTGAATATTGTCAATTTCAAACTATAGCATTCCTATTTTTTAAAAAAAGCCTGAAATTTTAAATTTACTTTTGTCATCTCTAGCCAATTCAGAGGAAATTATAGTGGGAAATTCTGTTGACTCATCGATCCCACAAGTGATGGGGAGTGGAGGCCAGAGGGTCATCACCATAGTGACTGATGGAGTCCCTCTGGGTAATATCCAAACTGCAATTCCTCCTGGAGGGATTGGCCAGCCATTCATTGTAACTATGCAAGATGGACAGCAAGGTGAGTTACCTCATGTAAATAATTGTTTATTAAAAGATATATATTTTAGGGTGGTGCCTGTGGCTCAGTGAGTAGGGTGCCAGCCCCATATACGGAGGGTGGCAGGTTCAAACCCAGCCCTGGGCCAGACCGCAACAAAAAATAGCTAGGTGTTGTGGCGGGCGCCTGTAGTCCCAGCTACTTGGGAGGCTGAGGCAAGAGAATCACTCAAGCCCAAGAGTTGAAGGTTGCTGTGAGTTGTGATGCCACAGCACTCTACCCAGGGCCACAGCTTGAGACAAAAAAAAAATTGTTTTAAAAAAAAGATATATATTTTATGTATGTACGTACACATATACATATTTTTTTTTTGTTTTCTTTTATTTAAGCTCTATCTCCCCAGCTAGAGTGCAATGAGATCATCATAGCTTATTCCAACCTCAAACTCCTGGGCTCAAGCAATCCTCCTGCCTCACCCTCCAGAGTAGCTAAGACTATAGGCAGCTGACATCACACCCAGCTAATTCTTCTATTTTTTGTAATGACAGGGTCTTGCTCAGGCTGGTCTCAAATGCTGGCCTTACTCCATCTTCCTGCCTTGGCTTCTCAAAGTGTTAGAATTACAGGCACAAGCCATCTATATACCACCTGGCTATTAAAAGATATTTTAGACCCTACATGCTCCTAAAAGTGACACATTAAGACAAAAAGTGGGGTAGAATGGCTCACACCTGTAGTCCCAGCTATTTGGGAGGCTGAAGTGGGAGGATCACTTGAGGCGAGGAGTTTGAGACCAGCCTGGGGTAAATATTGAGAGTTTGTCTTTAAGAAAAAAAAAAGACAGAGAATGGGCATGGGAGAATGCCAGATGCAAGATGGGACAAAGAAGCTCAGAAAAAGAAACAGAGGCTCAGTGCTTGTAGCTTAGCCGCTAGGGCTCTGGCCAGATACACTAAGGCTGGAGGCTTGGGCCTGCTAAACAACAATGACAACAACAACAAAAAAATAGCCGGGCATTGTGGAGGGCACCTGTAGTCCCAGCTACTTGGGAGGCTGAGGCAAGAGAATTGCTTGAGCCCAAGAGTTTGACATTGCTGTGAGCTGTGACGCTATGGCACTCTACTAAGGGCAACATAATGAGACTCTGTCTCAAAAAAAAAAGAAGAAGAAGAAAGAAAGAAAGAAACTAGTCTGGCAAAGGCTAATTTCTTTAATATGTATAGAATTTGTTTAGTAAAAACCAATGATCTGATAGAAAATAGAACAATATGAACCAAGAATAGTTCATAGAAAAGAAAATATCACTTTCTTGGATAAGTACAAAAACAAAATGAAAAAAGAATCTGACCACTTTGGGAGGCAGAAGCAGGAGGATTGCTTGAGGCAGAAGTTTGATGCCAGCCTCCGCACCATAGTGAGACCTCATCTGTACAAAAAAATAGAAAAATTAGCCGGATGTGGTGACATATGCATGTAGACCCAGCTACTAGGAAGGCTGAGGTAGGAGGATCACTTGAACCTAGGAGTTTGAGGTTACAGTAAGTTGTGATGACACCACTGCACTCTAGCCCAAGTGACAGAGTGAGAGCGCATCTCAAAAAATAAAGTAAAATAATAAACTAAAGTAAAATTGATGGCTCTTAAAAATATGAGAATGTGGGCTAGGCGCCTGTGGCTCAAGAAGCTAACATGCCAGCCACATACACATGACCTGGCGGGTTCGTATCCAGCCTGGGCCCGCCAAACAACAATTACAGCTACAACCAAATAATAGCCGGGCGTTGTGGCAGGCGCCGGTAGTCCCAGCTACTTGGGAGGTGGAGGCAGGAGAATGGCTTGAACCTAGGAGTTGGAGGTTGCTGTGAGCCTTAATGCCACAGCACTCTACCTAGGGCGACAGCTTGAGGCTCTGTCTCAAAAAAAAAAAAAAATGAGAATGTGTTCAACCTACTTCATTCGAAATGCAAATAAATATTCCGCTGAGATATCATTATAACATTGTGTTGTCAAAGGTATAGGGAAATGGGCACTCTTGTAAATTATTTGTGAGAGTATAAATTAATGGGTTCTCTGAAAAGCATATTGGCAGTATCTGTCAATATTAAAGATGTACACACCTTATGGCTAAACAGTTCTTTTCCTATGAACTCATACTTAACACACACAGAATTAATACATTCTAAGTCATTTATTACAGCATTATTTGTCATTGTTAAAGGTAGAAAAGAACAGGGCGGTGCCTGTGGCTTAGTGAGTAGAGCACCGGCCCCATATACCGAAGGTGGTGGGTTCAAACCCAGTCCTGGCCAAACCAAACCGCAACAAAAAAATAGCCAGGCGTTGTGGCGGGCGCCTGTAGTCCCAGCTACTTGGGAGGGTGAGGCAAGAGAATCACCTAAGCCCAGGAGTTGGAGGTTGTTGTGAGCTGTGTGACACTGCCACGGCACTCTATGGAGGGCGATAAAGTGAAACCGTCTGTAAAAAAAAAAAAAAGAAAGAAAAACAAAAGGTAGAAAAGAACCAAAGTATATGTCAATAGGGGACTGGATAAATAAAGTATGGTACAAGAGCAAGATGCAGGTATGTAGAATATACCACATTTATATTTTTAAAAGGGGAAAATGTATGTATATTTGCTAACATATTCAGACTTAGATTACCTCTGGAAGAACATAAAGAAATATAACATTGTTTGCTTTCCAAGAGAGTAACTGGGTGTACCTGGGAATTTGTGGGAGGCTATTAAATGTATATGCTTTTATAGTCTTTTTTTGAGACAGAGTCTCACTTTGTCACCCTTGGTAGCCATGGCGTCACAGCTCACAGCAACCTCAAACTCTTGGGCTTAAGTGATTCTCTTGCCTCAGCCTCCCAAGTAGCTGGGACTACAGGCGCTCACCACAATGCATGGCCATTTTTTAGAGATGGGGTCTTGCTTTTGCTCTGAGCTGGTCTCAAACCTATGAGCTCAGGCAATCCACCTCCTTTGGCCTCCCAAGTGCTGGGATTACAGATGTGAGCCACTGCACCTGGCCTAGCTTTTTTTTTTTTTTTTGAGACATCTTACTCTGTCATCCAGACAGGAGTACAGTGGCATAATCATAGCTCTGCTGCAGTTCAAAATTCTGGCTCCTCTGGTCTCAACCTCCTAAGTAACTGGAACTATAGGTGCACATCAACACACCTAGCTTTTTTTTTGAAACAGAGCCTCAAGCTATCCCCTGGGTAGAGAGCCATGGCATCAAAGATCACAGCAACCTTCAACTCTGGGGCTTAAGTGATTTTCCTGCCTCAGCCTCCTAAGTAACTGGGACTACAGACACCCACCACAGCGCCCAGCTATTTTTTGGTTGTAGTTGTCATTGTTGTGGGCAGGCCCAGGCTGGATTCAAATCCACCAGCTCTGGTGTATGTGGCTGGTGCCTTAGCCTCTTGAGCTACAGGCGCCCAACTCCTACCTTCTTTTTTTTCTTTTTTTTGAGACAGTCTCATTACGTTGCCCTGGGTAGAGTGCCATGATGTCACACCTCACAGCAACGTCACACCTCACAGCAACCTCAGACTCTTGGGCTTATGAGATTCTCTTACCTCAGTCTCCCAAGTAGCTGGGACTGCAGGGGCCTGCCACAACGCCTGGCTATTTTTTGTTGCAGTTTGGCCAGGGCCAGGCTCGAACCAGCCACCCTCGGTATATAGGGCCAGCGCCCTACCCACTGAGCCACAGGCACCGCCCTAGAGACTGGGTCTTGTTCTTGATCAGGCTGGTCTTGAATTTCTGAGCTCAAGTGGTCCTCCCACCTTGGCCTCCCAGGGCACTGGGATTATAGGCATGAGCCACCATGCCTGCCTAATAGTTCATTCCTTTTTATTGCTGAGTATTATTCTGTGGTATGGCCATACCACAGTGTGTTTTCTATTTACCCACTAGAAGACATTTGAGTAGTTTCCAGTTTTCAGCCATGTAAGAATAAAGCTATTATGATTGTTTACAGGTTCTTATGCCAAATAATAAATAGGAAATAGGCTCAGCGCCTATAGCTCAGTGGCTAGGACACCAGCCACATACGCTGGAGCTGGCAGGTTCAAATCCAGCCTGGGCCTGCCAAACAACAATGACAACTACAACCAAAAAGAAAAAAATAACCAGGTGTTGTGGTGGGTGCCTGTAGTCCTAGCTACTTGGGAGTCTGAGGCAAGAGAATCACTTAAGCCCAAGAGTTTAAGGTTGCTATTAGCTGTGACGCCACGGCACTCTACCAAGGGAGACATAGTAAGACTCTGTCTCAAAAAAAAGGAACTAGGGCTCAGCACCTGTGGCTAAAGCGGCTAAAGCGCTAGCCACATACACCTGAGCTGGTGGGTTAAAATCCAGCCTGGGCCCGCCAAACAACAACGATGGCTGCAACCAAAAAAACAAAAAGGAACTAGGAAATAAATTTTCAGTTTCCTGGGATAAAAACTCTGGTGTTTATGTGTTTATGTATGTGTGTGTTGACCCTTCTCTCACTTGTCTGTGAGAAGAGAAATAATATAGGTTTAGTTAATGCCAAACTGTTTTTATTAAAAATTTCTCAAAAATGGGCAGCTCCTGTGGCTCAGTGGGTAGGATGCCGGCCCCATATACCCCAGTCAAACTGCAACAAAAAAATAACCAGGCATTGTGGCAGGTGCCTGTAGTCCCAGCTACTCTAGAGGCTGAGGCAAGAGAATTGCCTAAGCCTAGGAAGTGGAGGTTGCTGTGAGCTGTGTGACACCATGGTACTCTACCGAGGACGATTGAAACTCTGTCTCTACAAAAAACAAAAAAAAGGTTTCTCAGCGGTGTCTGTGGCTCCAAGGAGTAGGGTCCTGGCCCCATATGCCGGAGGTGGCAGGTTTAAACCCAGCCTCAGCCAAAAACTGCAAAAAAAAGAATAACATGAACCCGCCACCTCTGGCTTATGGGGCCGGAGCCCTACTCCTTGGAGCCACAGGCATCACACAGCTCACAGCAACCTCCACCTCCTGGCTTAGGCGATTCAGTGACCTTCAACTCCTGGGCTTAAGTGATTCTCTTGCCTCGCTTCCCAAGTAGCTGGGACAACAGGCGCCTGCCACAACGCCCGGCTATTTTTTGGTTGTAGTTGTCATTGTTGTTTGGCAGGTCTGGGCTGGATTCCAACCTGCTAGCTGCGGTATATGTAGCTGGCACCTTAGACAATTGAGCTATAGGCACCAAGCCACAACCTCAAACTATTTTTTTTTTTTTTTTGAGACAGAGCCTCAAACTGTTGCCCTGGGTAGAGTGCCGTGGTGTTACAGCTCACAGCAACCTCCAACTCCTGGGCTTAAGCAATTCTCTTGCCTTAGTAGCTGGGACTACAGGCGCCTGCCACAATGCCCAGCTATTTTGGGGTTGTAGTTGTCATTGCTGTTTAGCAGGCCCAGGCTGGATTCGAGCCTGCCAGCTCTGGTGTATGTGGCTGGCGCCTTAGCCACTTGAGCTACAGACACTGAATTGCAACCTCAAACTCTTGAGCTCAAGTGATCCCCCTCCCTCAGCTTCCCATGTAGCTAGAACTATAGGTGCCCACCACAAATGCCCAGCTAGTTTTTCTATTTTTAATAGGGATAGGGTCTCACTCTTGCTCAGGTTGGTCTGGAACTCCTGAGCTCAAGTGATTAATCCTCCAACCACAGCCTCCTAGAGTGTTAGGATTACAGGCGTGAGCCACCGCTCCGGGGCTACTTTAACAGAGTTTAATTGAACAAAGAATAATTAATGAAAGAGCCAGCCCCCAAACCCTAACAGGTTCAGAGAGACTTCCCAGACATCTTTACACATGTATAAGTATCTCAGACCTTAACCTGGATGGCTTTCTAGCCTACAAATCTATACTGTTCCTTTCTGAGTCATTCCTAGTAGCCCTTTAATCCTATTTGTTTCTCTTTGCAGGTCCATGCCTTCCCTGTTGAGTCTTAAATTCAAAGAAATATGAAAAATAAACATCAGATATTTTGTTTTCTAATTAAATGCAAACAAAACCTCCTTGCTTACTGTGTATTCATCACCTTCAATTGATGTTCTTTGGCTTGTAGTTCTAACTGTGCCTGCTGGTCAGGTTGCAGAAGAGACTATAATTGAAGAGGAAGAGGAAGCAAAGTTGCCACTGACAAAGAAACCAAGAATAGAAGAGATAACAAACAGTACAGAGGAAAGCAAGGTAATGTTTTTTTAGCAGTCATAGAAGAGAAAGGAAAGAATCAAAAGCCATAACTATTAAGGACTGAATCCTTCTTCATTTTTTTGTCTACTGTCTAGATAACTTATGATCAGGAATTCTTACCTGGTGATGGCAGCGAGAGAGAGCAACTGCAGCAGCAACTTCAGGAGGCCAATCTAAAAGCCCAGGAATACCGACACCAGCTCCTAAAGAAAGAGCAGGAAGCAGAACAGTACCGTTGTAAGCTGGAGGCCATGACCCGACAGCAGCCCAACGGAGCTGATTTCAGCATGGTTGATGAGGTGGCTGAGGTAGATGCTATAGTAGTCCCAGAGCGGAAGGTGGAAGAGAGAGAGACAAAAGTTACTGGGTCAGGAGGTGCCAAAGAGCCTCCTCATACTGCAGTTTCCATAGAAACTGTTTCATCTTAACATGCAAGGGCCACAGTTCGCAGTGTGTTCATCTTACTCCTCTTTTAAAAAATAATACAGAAGACAAACATTGTATAAAATTACGAATGTCTTTAAGAAGAAAATTATGGCAGGTTACAGTGCTTGGGCTTAGGAAGATCCCTTTACAACTGGAAAATTCAAAGCCATATTTAGGGAACACTTCTTCTGAGGGAAAAAAAGAATAAGGACCAAATTTCTTAGCCTGTATCATTGCTTTAAGCATAAATTTAAAAGAATGCTAGGTGTTGGAGCTTGACATTTTTTTTTAAATAACTGACTTTGTATCAAAAGTTTTTAAGGTAACATTTCTAATACATACACATGTAAAGCCTTTGATAATTATACCATTAAAGTGTCCTGAAAATTTGCCTTAACCTGGAAGAATAGTAGAGGCAAGAAAGAAAAAAGGGAAAGAAAAAAGGAATTTATTCCACTTCCACGAGAGCAGGAATTCCCAACTATCCTGAGTTAATTTCTTTCTTTCTTTCTTTTTTTTTTTTAGAGACAGTCTCACTTTGTCACCGTCAGTAGAGTCCCATGACGTCACAGCTCACAGCAACTTCCAGCTCCTGGACTTAGGCAATTCTCTTGCCTCAGCTTCCCAAGTAGCTGGGACTACAGTCACCCACCACAATGCCCGGCTATTTTTTGTTGCAGTTTGGCAGGGGCCAGGTTTGAACCCACCACCCTCGGTGTATGGGGCTGGTGCCCTACTCACTGAGCCACAGGCACCTCCCCCTGAGTTAATTTCACAGAAAAGAGTTTTTTGATTGTCTGACAAGTTTGTATCCTCTGTGTCCATAGCTCAGATGCCAGTTTAAGAAACTGAAATAGTTTTTAAAAACTGGAAAGGAGGCTTGGCACCTGTGGCTCAAGAGGCTAAGGCACGAGCCACGTACTCCTGAGCTGTGGGTTCCAAACCAGCCCGGGCCTTCCAAATAACAGTGATGGCTGCAACCAAAAAATAGCCGGGTGCTGTGGTGGGCACCTGTAGTCCCAGCTATTTGGGAGGCAGAGGCAGGAGAATTGCTTGAGCCCAGGAGTTAGAGGTTGTTGTGAGCTGTGATGCCATGGCAGCACTCTACCCAGGGTGACAGCTTGAGGGTCTGTCTAAAAAAAAAAAAAACTGGAAAGGAAAATAATTTGTTCATGTGGGAGAAGTGCACGTAAAACCAGAATCTTCCAGGCTATGTTTCCACAATGCTGGGATATGGCCAGAAAGAGGCCTGTGGGGCTATAAAACTCTGGTCTTGAGATATGTACTTTTACTCTGGCTGTTTTTTTTTTAAATTGCAATCAGGAGGGTAGTTTGTTGTCAGAACAATTTGCTTCCAAACATTTATTTATGTAATATCAAGCTCAAACTCTATAATTTCATAAAACTTTAAATTTCAATAATTTTCTAAGTGTTATCCATAAGTTTCCTTTTATGTGTCACTTACTTGTTATCCTCCTATGTGCAAAAAAGAGGAGGAATGAAGACAAATGTTAATGATGTTGTATAGTTTTATTTCCATCTCACTTGGAATCAGTAAGTTGCCCTGTTTCCATAAGTTTGGGCCTGCAGAACTTTGTGCCTTTTAAGTGTTCAGTGTGTGTTGACAAAGAGAATAAGAACTATCCATGCCATAAAGTGAAGAACCAAAGATTTCAGCCACTTAGTCTATCTTCCTCCATTCTCTCCCACCAAGTGTATTCCCAGAGAGTTTTGGAAAGTGTTTCATCGCTGGTTTTCTTTTTATGTGTATTTTTTCCCAAATAAATGGAATATGGTTAGGGAGAGAGAGAAAGGTTGTGGACAGGTTATATTACAGAGGTTATTACCTTTGAATTTGGGCACTCATTATTCTAGGGTTGCTTGCTTGCTTACTTTGTTATAAATTAGACATAACCAGAGGGAAATGTGTCAAGTACACATTTGAATGACTGTTTAGAATATGGTTTTCTTAATTAGTGATCATGGGGAAAACATGCATTTTTTTTTAAGGTAGAGTCTCACTTTCTCGCTCTTGGTAGAGTGCTGTAGCATCACAGCTCACAGCAACCTCAAACTCTTGGGCTTAAGCAATTCTCTTGCCTCAGCCTCTGAAGTAGCTGGGGCTACAGGCACCCACCATAACACCTGGCTATTTTTTTTTTTTTTT